GTTGCATTGTGGTAAACTGTGGTCAATGACATGCGACAAAGTATATGTGAACTGCTGTATGGAAAGTGAATTTGCTCTGTAAATCTTCACCCAAATCTCAATAAATAATAATAATAAAAAAAAAGTTGGTCCAAGAATAAGCTTTAACAATCTTAAGCCAAAGTTTTTACTGGAGTTCCTCTCCTGTGCTTGATATGAAAGAGGAATTTGATTATTCCTGGGTCTGAGAAAACAGAATGATGACCAATAAGTGGACAAAAAGAAGGAGCAGATTTCAGACCTCTGTCAAAAGAGCCTTCACCATTAGAGCTTAGCTATTGCAATGGAACTGGAGTCCCTGGGTGGCATATATGCTTGACCGCTCAACTATTAGCCAAAAGGTTGGTGGTTTGAACCCACCCAGAGGTGCCTCAGAATACAGGTCTGACAATCTACTTCTGAAAGACCACAGTCTTGAAAACCTTATGCAGCAGTTCTACTTTGTACACACGGGGTCACTATGAATAGTAATCGACTGACAGGAATTAACAATACAATGGAACCGCACTATAGATTATGAGAATGAGTTCTTTGTTCCTGGAAATATCAAGCAGAGCGAGAAAATCCCTTCTCAAAGATATTGTTGCAAGTTTACCTGTTTTAGAGCAAATTACTATTAATTTCTGAATTTTTGCAACATCATCAACTGTCTCTACTTCTGCTACCCATTTGCTCCCAAATCCATTCTTTCTCCTCCATACTTTCCTCATTCTAATTCCTTCAGTAGATGAACATGCTCTCCTCCAGACAAATCCAGGTGTTTCCTTGCCTATCCCATGACTTCTCAGTCTGAGTTTCTACTGCCTTCAAAAACAAACAAACAAACAAACAACTCATTGCCATCAAGTTGATTCTGACTCCTAATGAGCTCTGTTGGGTTTCCAAGGCTGTAAATCTTTACGGAAGCAGACTGCCTCATCTTTCTTCCACAGAGCAGTTGGTGGGTTCAAACCACTGACCTTTGGTTCAGCCAGATGCCTTAACCACTACATCACCAGAACTCCTTAGGCCCTTAAATTGCCTGGATAGAGCAAGTTTGACTATTGAATACCTTTTTTGTGTCAGCTTCTGTATTTGACATTTTTCCTTATTTTTTCAGTACAGCAACCCTGTTAAAATTCTATAGGTTTTGAGTTTTGTTTGTTTGTTTTTAACTCACTTTAAAGAAGAGGAAACCCAATGACATAAAGGTAGTAAGTGCAAAACTGGGACTGAACCAACATTTTCTAAATCCAAATTCTCGTCCTTTAACCTAGTGAGAAAAGAGACAAAAGGAAAGAAGGGAAGAGGGAAGGCCCCTCAGACCTGGGCCACGGGTTGGACGGAGTGAGGGGGAGTTTACAGGGAATCCTACATGCTGAAAATTTGTACCTGGCATTTTTATCTCAATAACTATTAAACTATAAATATTGATGTTCAATATAGTTACTGGGGAACTAACAAAGACAAAAGAGGAAACTATAATATATTTGAATTAAGCATAAAGGAACACATGCTTTTTGATGTTAGGTGCCTTTGAGTCAGTTCCGACTCATAGCAACACAGTGTATTGTAAGGTTGCCCAATCCTGCACCATCTTCTCAGATATTTCCGTTTGAGCCCATTGTTGCAGCCACTGTGTCAATCCATTTCATTGCAGGACTTCCTCTTTTTCACATGTAATATAGTAACAAGTATTCATGTCTTTAAATGTTTGTCAGATTAACATTGCATAAATTATATTTAATTTTAACGCTACTCTGTTTCATATAGTATGCTCAGTTTTCATGTGGTATGTCATCTAATCACAACCTAAAAAAGAGTAGAGGTGCTAATAGTGAAATACTGTTATTTAGAGATTGTAAAGTTGTGGACATGGACATGCCAGTCACCGTGTGTAACACATAATAAATGCCTAATGGAACTGAATCAAGCATCTGCACCAGGGATGAGGGAAGATGTCATGTAATTGTTTGATTTTATTCCCTAATATAAGTAGCCATCAAATTTTTCAAAAGAATGGACCCTTTGACATAGCAATTCAACTTTTAGGATTTTATAATCACACGTAACATAGTTAATCAGTCTCCTATTGCTTATGATCCTACTTTTGTGAGCTGAAAATTAAAGAATGTAAAAAAAAGGACTAAATGTTGTTGAGTGGCTAGTATGAACCAGGCACTTTAGGTTTGTTATCTCCTTAATTCTCAGTTAACCCCATGAAGTCGATACTAAGAAAACTGAAGTCTGTAGATTCCAAGAATCTTGCCCAATATCATATAAATAGTAAATACCAGATCTGGAATTTGAGATCAGATATCTCTGGCTCTAAAACCCATACTCTTTCCATTGTATCGATGACTTATAAATGGCATTTTGTGGAAATGCCTTGACATGCTGAAGGAGGCCAAGGGGAAGACTGAGTGGGTAGAAATTATCTCCCACACTCACTTCAACCACAGCACCTGCTTTAAAAAACCATCAAAAAAATATTAACCATTGTACAACATCAAATATTAGTATGGGGGTTTACAATTTAAAATAATTTCCAAATAAAATAATATAGATAGGGATAATAAATCAAATAGGAGCTACAGATGCAGGTACTTCTCAGAAATAACCAATCACCTCACCAAGATTAGTTTTCTTGGTTTGAAGACTTACTTAAAGTCATAGTCTTGTGTGTCAATTCAGTCAATTGACATAACATAGTTCATAAAGTTCATATTTTACACCTTAGTGTGATGAGTAGCATTTGAGTCCTAAAGCTTGCAAGTAGCCATCTGAGATACAACTATTGGTCTCTATTTGTCTGGAGCTAAAGAGAAAAAAGAAAATCTGAGAATCAGAGATGGAATGGGAATATAGGACTGATTGTCTCCTTGAAACATGGCCTTCTCTGCCTTGAGACCAGAAGAGCAAGATGATAACTGACAACCACAGCCAAACATTCTGATCACGGTCACAATAGTTGGATCCTGATAGAAAGGGAAAAGAAAACATGGAAAAGAACTTCCAGTTCTCAAAGAATCTAGATTTCCTGGACCCATTGAGACTAGAGGAATCCCTGGGACTCTTTAAACGTTGAATGGAAACTATCTCCTGAAATCATCTTTTAACGAAACAGCAAGCTAGCTAAAAAAATAAAGAATTTCACCCTTGAGATCTGTGCCCTTTTGAAAATTATCTGAATGAGATTAAATAGACAACAGTTACTCTAAAACATAGTTGCAAAGTTTGGGGTGCAGTGAGACAAAAGTAATAGGAGTGGAACAACTATAACAGAGGAGAATGGTAGCATAAACTGAAGAATATAAACAATATCACATTATGTGATGACATTGTTAAATGGGAATTTTGCTGTGTACACTTGCACCAAAGGAGAATAAAATTTTTTTTTTAAAAAAAAAAAAAAGAATTTTCATATATTCTGTAATACACACCAGTATCATTAAAATAGGAGCTCTGGTGGCATAGTGCCTAAGGCATTTGACTGCTAACCAAAAGCCTGGATGTTCAAACCCACCAGCCACTCCTCAGAAGGAAGATTGGGCAAGCTACTTCTGTAGAGATACCGCCTCAAAAACCCAAGGAGAGGTTGCTATGAGTCGGGACTGACTCAATGGCAATGAGTTTGGTTTGGTTTGGTATCGTTAAAATGAAATAATCCATCATTTTTCATCAACCAGGGAGACCTTAGTAGGTTAGAAAAGGCACCCAGGAGTTAGTTACAAGCATTTATGAATCAATAAAAATTGATTCAACTCAGAACTTTGCAAAGATGAGGGAGGAGGGACTGGAGGATGGAACGGGGTTAGGATAATGAAGGTCACCAAATCCTGGGACAATTGCAATTTAGTCTTCAGAATAAGGAACCCGAAAAAGAAGTTCCCACAAATCTAGATGGGCCTGTTTTGGTGAAATGTTCATAACATAGTGTCAGCACGACTTGACATTTCACTTAAGCTGCCTAACAAAAACCAGACATCATCACACCAATGAGTGCCAAACTTTGTTACAATTTTAGAAGAGGGCTCTTTGACTTTAATTTGTTCCTAGGATTGATTGATTGATACTGGAGGTTGTAGGAGAAGATTGACTACAGGGTATTTTGCCTGGGGAGTTGAGCAGGAGACTAAAAATATTTGAGACCCACTTCCTGCACTGAGACTTTTGCACTGATGTTTGTTTTCTTATTCCAAAGTTGGGGAAACCTATCAAAATGTTTGAGTATTCTTTCAAACATATCACATATTTCTATTACTTTAACATGGGGAGAGGAGTGGAGATGGAATGGGTGTTAAATTACTTTCTGTAGAGGAGGAGGGAAGGATTTTCCCTACTACCTAATTTGTATTATGGAATTCCTGTCAGTTCCCACACTGCGAGCGATGGGGTTTCAAAGACCAAAGTTTTGTTTTGTTTTGTTTTGTTTTAATTACAGTATTAGCCCATAAGTAGGAGTGGAACTAGAGCAGATAAAAAGTATACAATTTCTTTGAAAAATACCCAAAACTTTTCAGGCTATGAGAACCGGAATGGAACCCTGGACTGTTTCCTCAGCCAACAGAGACATCTGGCTAGAGAAATATATTTGTAGTGCCCTGCTCCAGATTTTATCTGATTCTTTTTTTATTTTTATTCCAGTTGCTACATTGATGGCCGGGTGGTCAAGGTGATGGACTTCCTGAAAACTCGCCTGTTAGACACACTCTCTGACCAGATTAGGAAAATTCAGAAAGTGAGTAAAAGTGTCCTGGGAAGAAGAAGAAAAGCGAGTTTGGGGGTAGGGCAAGGAAAAAGTCACAGGGTTCCAGCTGGACTTCACCACTGTGGGAACCAGGTGGAAAAATAGTGCAGTCTAGATGGGCGTTGTCCTGCGATCCCTCACGCACTGTGCCTTGTTAATTAATGATTGCTATTTATTGTTTTTCAAACTGAAAAGGATTTCATGTGTACTATATCAGAATCTGGTAGCATAGTGCCTAAGGCACTTGACTTCTAACCAGAAGGCTGGTGGTTCAAACCCACCAGCCACTCCTCGGAAGGAAGGTTGGGCAATCTACTTCTGTAGTGATACTGCCTCGGAAACCCAAGGAGGGGTCGCTATGAGTCGGCCCTGAATCGACCGCACATAACAACAACAATAATTTAATAACATAATTTTTAATAATTTATTTCTAAATTATAAATTTCTTAAAAGATGGACAGATTTACTTTGTTATTTTCTTATTGTGGGAGCTTATTTTGTGTTAATTTAAAGAGAATGAATGATTTCATGTAATAATGTCATCCATTCATTCAGTGAAATTCATTCAGTGAAATGTAGGGATTTGGCAATGTTGAGTTATATTTAGACTATTCCTAGGTTCTTAGAATCAACCAAGTGACACCTTACTTTTGTAAAGATTGGGGGAAAGCTATATTACAATAAGCAACTGCATATAGTTTCTGTTATCAAGACATCTTTGGTCAGTGGTCCTCAGACTACAATCAGAACCACCAATGGTACTTGTTAAAATTTCCAGTCTTATTCCTGATTTAGTATGCTGGATCCCAGAAATCTCTGTTTTTAGTAATCGTCTTTCAGGTGGTCCTACCCACTGCAGGTGTTCCTTAGGATCACATTTTGAGATAGACTGAGTTAGTGACTTCTGAATTATGAGGCTTTTATGCCTGCACCTTCCTTGAGCCAATCCAGGGCGGCGGCGGTATGACGTCTTATGTGGATCAGTCAGATTCTTTTCCAGCAAATGGGGACCTTTGAATACTCAGCTCTCTCTTGAGCAGATTAAACAAATATTAGCATAAGAACGACAACACATAGGCCCTCCTTAAATATGGGTTGAATGGATAAATGAATGGACAAATGAATGAATGGCTCATCTATAAAAGTAACTGAAAGAAAGCAATTATATAAAAACTCTTTTGAGAGCTGAAGTGGAAGTTTAGATCCCTTTTTGCATTAATACCAAAGTCACACTCAGATTACAGTCTCTGAGTTGCTTTGTTCTCAAGGGATTTTTAGAGTCTGAGAAACCTCAGGATGTCTGGATTCTTACATCCCAGTCTGATCCCTAGGGAGCTCTGGTAGCGTACTGCCTAAGGCACTTGACTGCTAACCAGAAGCCTGGTGGTTCAAACCCACTAGCCACTCCTTGGAAGGAAGGTTGGGCAATCTACTTCCGTAGTGATACCACCTCAGAAACCCAAGGAGGGGTCGCTATGAGTCAGGTCTGACTCAACAGCACATAACAACAATGACAATCTGATCCCTAGGGATCAGATTCATTGGCCAGTGTTTTGGCTAGCACCCTTCTGTGTCACTGTTACTGTTAGGCAAGACCTAGGAGAACTATGTTATTTGAAATATCTCTGTTTGACATTGGCATAATGATAAACATTTACTGAGCACTTAGCAAATATCAGGTAAAGTGTCAGGTGTTGAATACAAAATGGAATAAGACATGGTTTCTGCCCTCAAGGAACTCACAGTTTTAAGGCTTAATAGTTACCTTGAGCAGCTTGAAAGACATCATTTAATGCAATAGAATGTCAACCTGTGGAACACTACAGTTTTTTAAGCACATTATGCTAAACTAATATCAGGTATTGGTCTTTAGAAACCAAAACCAAAACCAAACTCACTGCCGTGGAGTCAGATCCGACTCATAGGGAGCCCTCCTTGGGTTTTGGAGGTGGAATCACTACGGAAATAGTTCGCCCGGTCTCCCTTCCGAGGAGTGCCTGGTAGATTTGAAACACCAGCCTTCTGGTAATCATTCAAATGCCTTAGGCACTAGGCTACCAGAGCTCTTTAGAAAGAGGGGGAAAATTTCATGCAGTCATCCATTAATTCTTCATTCGATGTATATTTATTCAGTGCTTATTATGTTCCAGCCACTATTTGAAGTACTTACATGACAACAATGTAAAAGATAAGGAAGTCTTTATATATTTTTATTTTTCTGCTTTTGAATCTAACCCTTAGCTAACTAAGGGTTGTTATTGGAAGTAAAATGATTTAGTTGTGTCATGGTGCTGGCCGTGACGGTAATAACTGTGCTCATGTAATTAGTTCAGTTTAACAGGTGGCTCTGGGTAAAAACGAAGACAAAGGTCTTCAGAAGTAGGTCCTTCCCTTTCTCCTCACAGCCATCACTGCCCCGCCCAGTGCTACATGCTCCTTAACCATCACAGAATGTTCAGAGACCAAAATAATGGCTGAGCTTACCTCCTGATTCATCTAGAAGCAAAGAAACATAAGGAAAGGGGCTCAAACCCTGTACACAATGGAGAACCAAACCTTTAAAAACATATCTAATAGACATGGAGGGAGGGTGTCAAGTGCCACTTCAGGAGTAGCAGTGGAGCCCTTGCCAGAAATGACCACATATGCAGGGGAGGGACAGACTTAATAGCAGGGTCTGGGGTCATCTTGTCCTGATTATCTTTTGCTGTATAACAAATTATCCCAAAACTTAGCCACTTCAAACAACCATTCCTTATCCTCATGGATTCTATGGGCCCAGGACTCACAAAGGGCAAAGTGAGGATGTTTTGTCTTTGCTGCATGATCCATGGGCTCTCGTTCAGTTGAGAGATTCAGAGGCTGGGGGGACTCGTGTGCTGATGCCTGGGATCATCTGTTGGCTTGTTCACTCACAGGTATGGCAGTTAATGCTGGCTGTTGACTGGTACATTAGCTGGGGCTGAAAGCCAGAATACCTACATGTAAAATCTCCATGCAGCCTGGGCTTTCTCTCAAGGTTCTAAGGCCAGGTGCCCAAGACAGAGAGCCAGGTGAAAGCTATATCACTCTTTCTAGTCTACCCTCAGAAGTCACAGGGCATCACTTCAACCATATTCTTTTCATTGGGACCGTCATAAGGGCCCACCCAGTTTCAAGGAGACGGGAAATAAACTCTTCCTCTTGATGTGGAAGTGCCAAAATTCTAGAAAAGGATATAGTACCAGAAATATTGTTGTAGTCAGTTTTGCAGAATACTGTCACAAAAGTGCTATCCTCTCTATCTCATTCAGTAGCCCTTCGGTCATTTCCTTGATTGGTTTTCTTTCCCAGCTCTTTCTTATGAAGTTCTTGCCGGACACTGCCTTGCACAGCTTCTGGTGTTGGTGTTGCTAGATCATAAACTAAAACCAAAAACCTGCTGCCATCAAGTCAGTTCTGACTCATGGCAACCCCATGTGTATCACAGTAGAACTGTGCTCAAAAGGGTTTTCAATGGCTGATTTTTCTGAAGTAGATCACCAAGGCTTTCTTTCGAGGCACCTCTGAGTGGACACAAACTGCCAATCTTTCAGGTAGCAGCCAAGCACTTACCTGTTTGTGCTGCCCAGGGGTGCCAATCACTTGAAATCTGATCCAGTGGATAGACATTCCATTGGCAGCAGCCTTGACCCGTGTGTCATAGTCTCCAGGATGAGACTCTCTCTCTACAGTCCAGGATGTGCTAAGCACTGACCTGCTTTGGAGATGAGGACTAGGAGAGCAGAGCAGTATCCCCAGGCTTTAGTGGTTGAAAAAAATGCTTTGGCTGTTCCCAAGTTCTGGGGGCTAAGGAGTGGGCAATTTGGGAAATTAGAGTCCAAGGTACAAACTGGGATAGACGGGCCAAACTTCTTGCTTACTAGTCTTCAAAAGCATCTTGGAGATGTGCCTGGAACCTGCATCCAAAAGCTAGAAGTTGAATCTTTGGGTTTTTTTTTTCCCCTATTCTGCAAAGTCCTAATGATCCCCCTGGGGCCCACCAAAACCAAACCCAAACTCACTACCATTGAATACATTCCAACTTGTAGCTACCCACTTTGGGTTTCCGAGGAGGTAAATCTTTATGGAAATTGATTGCCTAGTCTTCCTTCTGCAGAGTGGCTGGTAGATTTGAACCTCCAGTCTTCTGGTTAGCAGTCAAATGCCTTAGGCACTATGCCACCAGAGCTCCTTTGCTCCTTTTTGGCCCACAATGATGGAAAAAGGGCAGCTTTCCCACCAAAATGGAGTCATGCCAGGGAGTTTGGATAAATAGTGGTGAGACTGTATTGAATAGGAGATAGGACACAGGATTTGAAGTCTTATGAACTGGATTGTAGCTCAGACTTGGCTGGGTGACCTTGGGTCAGTCACTTAATTTCTCTGATTTTGTTTCTTCTTCTGTAGAATGAGGATGCTAAGAATACTATCCTGCCACCCTCTTAGTAATATGAAAGTAGTCACAGGATGTCCTGTTTTGTTAGTGGCCATTGAATACTAGTTCTTATTGCTGTTACAGTGAAACTTGTGAGAGCCGGAACTTGATGGAACTGTCTTGTTTTTTGAGTCTTGCAAGTGTTCTGCCTTGGACAGAGTACAATCTTACCACTTTTCTATCGCTGTCTATTGCTGGAAGATATTTCCATTTTCTTTCTCTGACAAGTTTCTGCCTTACACAGTTGCCAGCTTTTGCAGGCTTTGCTGTATTATTATTATTGTATTTTTTATTATGGTTATTTTAACAAGCTATGTTACTAGAGAAGCTTCATGCTACCTTTGTCCTCATCTTTGTCTTTGCTTTTATTTTTTTTCTCTTTCTGCTGCCTTTGAACCCTGGGGAATGTGATAGGTGATTTTTTTGGCACCTGAAAGGCAATGACTAAATCCTAAAAACAGCTGTGGTTTCCAAATTTGGACTGCCACTTACCAGAAGAATTCTCAGTTTCTGAGCAGCAGGTAAATTACCAGGT